CATTGAGTTTCCAATGCAACTCATTGCCACTAGGCCAAAAGAGCTCCCTATTTTAAAGTACTGGCAATTTTATTATCCCTATTTTACAAATGAGGAAAGTGAGGTACCAAGAAGTTAGGCAACTTGCCCATGTCAGTAAAGGATGAAGCTGGAATGCAAGTGTTCGAGTCTGTACCCTGACAGGTGCAAAATGAACAGGCTCTACCCAGTGACTCAGCTGCAGGGAGGCTCTGAGCACTTATGGTGGTAAAAGGGCAGAGGTTGAGAAGTTCAGGGCCAGAGAGAGGAATGTATGACTTAGAAGAAGCTATTTTAACTAAAGATCTATATCCTGAATCATTCCTGAGCAGTAACCTATTTCTCCCCTAGTACATCTCATAATCATGAGCAATGTCTCTCAGTTCTGGGTGGCCACTGCAAATGAATTCTCAAACTCAAGGATGGCTGATGTCAGAATTGATAAAAATGTTGACGAGAGGAGGTATTTCTGACCTATGGCTCACAGATGTCATCTTTGGAGGGTTCCCTTCCCTCTTTGTGAAGTTAGAAGAGGTCAGAGGGCATAGCAGTCACACCATTTCGCCCACCCTTCCTTCTAGCCCCATCGTGCCTTCCTCATTCCTTTCTCCTGAGGATACTTCTCAAAAGAGAGTCTTGCAGAGGCTTTTGGGAGAATCTGACCTGAGATGGTAATTTTCAACCCAATGAAATAGTATGGTTAGGGAGCTCTGGTGGCCTAGCGGCAAGAAGCTGCACTACAATTCCCGAGGCATCTAGTCCGAATTCACCAGATGCTCTGCTGGAGAAAGAAGGACAATCTCCTCCTGTACCAGCCAAATCTGATTTGTTGGTACACAAATAGTAGTAGTAGTAGTAGTAATAATAATAATAAATAGTATGGTTAGAAGCTATTGTTATAACAACAAACAGCTATTAATGTTTATGCTTTCATTACTAGTAATGAAAGCTTAAATGTTTGGATTGTTATTCAGTGTCAGTTGGAGATTATGGATTCTTGGTTGAAGAATATGAATATTATAGTTTGTACTATGCTTGTTGTGAATGCATATCAGATAGATGTTTTTATGTAGATAGGGTAGAACGGGGTTTTATAGGTGTGGGAGAAAGAACAATTTGGATCAGCAAAATAACTATTGTTGCTAAGACGAGGAGTGGAACATATTTATGACTTTTATTTGGAATTGGACCAATTTTTTGGTTCCTAAAAACAACAGATTACAAGCATCCTTTAAAAGTTGGGAAAGCCATAGGTTTAGGTAAACAGTGAAGAGTGAGCAGCTCTTATGCCTTTCTTGGTGTATCAGGTTTATGCTTCTACTTCTAGGTTTACGGTCTAGTGTTTTAGGTTAAACTATATCCACAAAATTTTGTGCATAAGAGAATGAAAGGTTTGAGTGAGAGGAGAAGTAGTGGGATGAGATGTATCGCGATTGGAGAGTGTTTTCTTGGATAAAAGATGGCTTGATGGCGTTGGTGGGGTATGTAATTTTGTTTCATTGAATTGATGATATAAGTATGTAGATATAAGTATATAGCTGTATACCTTTAGTACAATGTGGTGTGTGTGTGTGTGTGTGAATACAATAGGTAAGAAAGCAACAGAAAACTAATGCTTATTTAATATTTTAAAAGAGAGAAGTGTCCTTTTAGTATGGAAGGAGGACTCCATATCAGTCCCTTATCCTCTTAGCCTACAAGGACACTTCTGAGGAAGGCCTCTTTATCAAGTTTACATACTTTAACTGTAACAGTTTGTGTCTCCACCCTGCAGTCTGTGTTTTTCTTGCTGCTAGGTGCCATCAAGTCGATTACAACTCACAGTGACCCAATGAACAACAGATCTGAACTGTACCTTATCCTGTGCTATCTTCACCATCTCTGATGTTACTGTGTTAATCCATCTTGTTGAGGGTCTTCTTCTCTTTCTCTGATCCTCTATCTTATTTTCCTGTCTCCCTTCCCTTTTTTTACAAGAATGAAGATATTTCCTTTGAGATGGTTTAGAAGAGGAAAGCCAGCATTCAGTTAATACAGCATTTTCAAAACCCAAGGACCAACCCTAAATGAGGAGACTAGGCACCACCTCGTATTCCCTCTTAACAACTTATTTCTGCTATGACATTTTCTGTGCCACAGAGTGACTTCTGGATGACCAAGTGACTCACCCAGCCTCGGCTATCTTTAAAGACCCAGGCGCATGTTTCTGAAATAGGCTGACTCATGCATATGTTTGGCCACCCTAAACACTTATGCATGCTCCCCAATAGACCCAGAAAACACTTCTGGGGGCTTGATGATCCTAATCCCTTCTACCTGGGTCAATCCTAAACAATCTTCTCCTCCTTTCATGGATAAACATGATGGTTTTTCCTGTTGATGTTGTTAAATGCAATCGAGTGGAGGAGGACTCACAGCAACCCCATAAATAGACCTGAACTCTGCTCTATCGTGTGTCAGCCTCATCATCCCCAACACATTGGGTCCATTGCTGAGACATCAGTCCATCTCATGGAGGGTCTTCCTCTCCTGTGATGCTCCCCATCTTTCCAAGCATGATGTCCTTTTCCAACAACATGTCCAAAATATGTGAGAAAAGCTTCATTAACTTTGTCTCCAAGGAACATTCTCATTACACTTTCTCCAACACATATTTGTTTGGTTTTGGTTTTGGTTTTTTTGGCAGTCCATGGGATATTCAGCACTCATCTCCAACACCACATCTCAAATGCATTGATACCTAGACCAAGAAGCTATTGTCCAAACAGAGCAAGGGAACACTGCATGGTCTGAAATTGGGAACAATGTGCATCAGGGCATACTCTCCATACCTATTCAGTCTGTATGCTGAGCAATGAGAAGCTGGACTTTATAAAAGAAAAATGTAGCATCAGGATCAGAGGAAGGCTCATCAACAGCCTGGGTTATGAAGATGACACAACCTTGCTTGCTGAAAAGTGAGGAGGACCTGAAGCACTTGTTGCAGAAGATCAGTGTCAGGAAAACAAAATATTTCCCCCCGTTCCAGTAGGCAGCATCATGATAGATGGAGAAAAGAGTGAAATCGTCAATGATTTCATCTTGCTTGGCTCCAGTCAATAACCTTAGTACAAGCAGTCAAGAGAGGAGGAGGCATATAGTTTTGGGAAAGTCTGCTGTTAGGGATCTCTCCAAAGTCCTGAAGAGCAACAATGTCAGTCTAAGAACTAAGGTGCACCTGATTCAAGCCACAGTCTTTACAATCACCAGGTATGCATCCCTTTGTTAGGCTAGCTATTTAAAAAACATCATCCTGTTCATATATAAGCATGCTATCCATTACCTACTCCAGACTCTTTAAAAAGAGAATTGCTTCCTTTGTTCCGGGAGCCATAGGCTAGCGGTATCTCTTCTCTTGACGTGTCCCACTGCTAAGTATTTTTTCTAATAAACCTTGTTGGTTACATAGAAAAGCCTGGACTCTTGTTTTGCTCTTTTTGCTTAATAGGAAGAAGAACCCAGACTTAAGCAGTGCACTGGGGACATTTTCTTGGATATCACATTTAGAGACTTGTCTGGCCACAGAAGTCTAAGTTCTATTAAAATGAAAATCAGAGCATGTATGTGTGCATATACATCCCAAACCTGTCACTACTGATTTTGTTGCAACTCACAGAGTGCCTACATTGCATTTCCCAGGCTTTAAATCTTTTCAGGAGGACATGGGGGCCCCTTTTCCCCCCCCTCAGATCAGCTGGTGAATTTAAACAGCTGACCAATCAGTTAACAGCCTGATACATTGCACACTATACCACCAAGATTCCATCTATGTATACATGTACAGACAGACATAGAAAGACAGGAAAAAAGATCAGAAAAGCAGGTACTAACATATATATAAGAAATAAGTTGTGTGTTTACTAAATAAGAATGTGAGATTTTTCAGCTGAATAGTACGCAGCATGCAGGAGCAATGATTAAAAAAATTACTACATAACTTGGGAGGAACTGAAAAGCATTACACTGAGTGAACTAACTCAGTCCTACAAGGACAAATACTAGAAGACCATTATTGTAGAAATAGAAAGATAACAAGTAAAATGACTATGAGGATCCAAGGTGGGGAGGGTAGGAGTAGAGGGGTAAGGATGGACACAGGGGCTATCATAGGGTCACACAATTTGATGGGTAGAGGGAGGGGTGGGTAGAGGAAATGGGAAAGATCCAGTGTGAAAAAGAGTGTATACACACTTTTAAACAAACCAGTATAAAATAAATAAAAATTTATTTTTTAAAATATGTGAT